CTAGATGGATGGACTTTATGAAAGAGACCACGAATATGAGTTTGCAGGGGCTGGTCAGAGCAGGAGAGGACAGGGGGGCCTGGAGGTGTCCATCCATAGGGTCGCCATGGGTTGAGATTGATGTGAAGACAGTTACCAACAAAACAAAGTTACTCTATCCAGTAGAGTAACTACTGCCATGAGTTAGCAGGACAATTCAGGAGCAATGCAGTATGGTGGTCCCCTGATGTGCTACGGTCCCCCAATGCAAGACAAGACACTGGCAAAGGGTCCTGATGCATACCAAGCTCTACCAATGCACATTGGCCACTCTTTCCAGTGTCCTGCTACATATCTTCGCCATCCAGTAACAAGGGTTTGTAATGCCTCTGCTATCTTGTTCAATATATGTTAGGTTATGTAAAAGGAGATTCCAGCCATAGTGATTCATAATTTTCTCCTCTGGATTGATTAGCATTTCTCAACCACATTTAACTTTTCTTCCAATTTTCCTTTTTAAAAAGTATACTGGAGTGAAAAGAAATCCATTTCCCCTTATTGGTCAGTAAACTACTGTCACAAAACCTTTGATCAGAGGCAGTATATCTTTCAGGAAAAAAACAACAACCAAGGACTATTTGCTGCCTAAATAAAATTTCCTTTCAGTTTTCTATTATTATTATTATTATTATTATTATTATTATTATTATTATTATTATTAGTATTGCAGTAACTTAAAACTTCAGCGGAGCATTTCAAAATACAGTTTAGGCCAAGACAAGGGCCAAGTGTAGTGACCAAAGGAAAGCAAACACAGCAAGCAGAGATGAGCTTTCAGATATGAAAGATGTTCAACATCTCACTCTTTGGAATGCTAGAAATCCAAGAACTAAAGGAAAATTTAATTTTGGAAAGGGGGAAATCCTTATTGGGAGCAATGCTTCCTCCTCACATATCTATACACCAGATTACGGACCAGTTGCTGGGGAATATGAGCAGGAGATTGCCATTGTCCTTGTGTCTTACTTCTCAAATGTGTTCTGCATGTGGACATGTCTTTTCCTACTTTTCCCCAGAACTGTTTGGTAAGTCCCAATGGGAGCAGAATGCTGGGTTACATAGCCTCTGGACTCATCCATCATGGCTCTTCCTGCGTTCTCATCAGAGCAAGGAAAGTTCGTAGAAAAAGCTTAATACATTCAGTTAATCATTAATAAGCTTTTTAAAAAGTCTAGTTCAATTGGGTTTACATTAACAGAGGGGAAATTAGCTATTAAGTGTATGCTAAATTGCCACTTACATTTAAGTTAAATGCCCGGACCAAAATTCTGACCATGGTGAAAGTCAAAAATGATTTTGTCATTTTTATATGCTGTTAAGTTGACTTTGACGCATGAATGAGAGACCTCCAGGATTCCTGGTTATCTACTGCCTTGCTCAGGTCTTGAAAATTCAGGCTTCCTTGATTGATTTTATCCATCTGTAATGCAGTCTCCCTCTTTTCCTACTGCCTTCCACTATACCAGGGGTAGGCAACCTTTCCCCTTTAAGGGCCGAGGGACTTCAGCTCCCAGAAGCCTCAGCCATGTTGGCCAATAGTCCCATGTTGGCCAATAGCTCCTGGGATTCTGGGAGCTGAAGTCCCTCAGCCCTTAAAGGGGAAAGGTTGCCTACCCCTGCACTATACCAAGCGTTGTCATCTTTTCCAAGAGTCAAGTCATCTCATGGTTTGTCCAAACTAGGGGAGCCTCAGTGTAGTCATCTTCACTTCTAGAGAGAATTCACACTAAGACCCATTCATTTCTCCTTTTAGCAGTCCATAGTACCCACAGAACGCTTCCCCAGCACCCCTTTGGCATTATCTTTCCATGGAGTTGGGGTTACATCTTCCCGCAAAGCTGATGGTAGAACTGCTGCTGGTAGGGTCTCCTATGTCAGGCTTTTGCTGAGGAACCAGACTCGGGCTGCATCTACCCTGCAGAATTAATGCAGTTTGGCACTACTTTAACTGCTGTAGCTCAGTGGTATGGAATTCTGGGATTTGTAGTTTAGTGAGATATTTAGCTTTTTCTTTCAATGAGCTCTGGTGCCACAACAAAGTAGTACTGTGCAGAAGGCGGCAATGATAAACCACTCCTGAAGCCCTTTACCTCGAAATCGCTATGATGAAAAGAATATGATTATTACCGATTTATTACATTATTATTGGTTCTCCTGTATGATTCCCTGCTTGTCTATGAAACCCATTGGGTGACCATGGGCAAGCCACATGTTCTCAGCTTCAGGAGGAGGCAATGCCTTAAACTCTTCTGAACAAATTTGGCCAGGAAAAGCCCATGATAAGGTTGCCTTAGGATTGCCATAAGTTGGAAATGACTTGAAGGCACACAACACCACCACCACCACCACCAACACCAACAACAACAATGACAACAACACCCATGCCAAGAAACATTCTAGGACAGGGGTAGGCAACCTTTCCCCTTTAAGGGCCGAGGGACTTCAGCTCCCAGAATCCCAGGAGCTATTGGCCAACATGGGACTATTGGCCAACATGGCTGAGGCTTCTGGGAGCTGAAGTCTCTCGGCCCTTAAAGGGGAAAGGTTGCCTACCCCTGTTCTAGGATAACATAACTTAAAAAATCAGTTTCCTGGGATGGATAAGGAGCCTCTCTGTGGTGTCTGATGCAAAACACTGGAAGACCATCCGAATGTAAAGACCAATCCCTTCCAAACTCTCCTTACTGCTGCAGTGTTTACATTGTTTTAACCTTGGGATTCATGAAGCTCTCATAAACTCTGTTGGCTCTTTTAGCACTGCCTCTCATTTATTTATTTATTGAATCACCAATGACTTCATTCTGGAATTACCTTACTGCTGAAATTCCAGATAAAGTTAATCACTTCAGATAGACCAATTTTAATTTGAAGCCCAGCTTCATGGCTAATTGAATCCATTTGAACCAGCTAGGTCCTATCTCTCATTTCTATATATGGTAGATAAGCCTCCTTTCACCCTTTTTTGAACCCTGGTGACACGTTGGGTGCAGTGATCCTCTCGGGACAGGATGTGCTTGCTTTGAGAAATGATTTGTTTCTGTTGACATTTGATTGCTCACAAATTGCACAACTGACCTCATCGCTTTTTCTTCCCGAAGAGGGGAAAACCCTAAAGATATCACCAGACTCAACACAAGTTTGCGAAGCTCTCCGCTCCAATAAGACTTGACACACTTAATGGTACCCATTGTCACATAGGTTCATCTCTGAGAGGACATGTCAAAAAGAGGAAGGAAGAGCTCTGAAATGGACATCTTTTGTTACGGTATATCTCTTTGTTTTGCTCTTGAACGCAAGAACAGAGAGGGTGGGCAAAGTACGAGAGTGAGTGGTGGCCTCTTAGCCCCAGGAGATTCTAGTTGAGGGATTTTGATTCGTTTCAACCTGGCTTTGACCCAGGTTGATCCATTTTATTTTGGTCCAGTTCAACCTGGTTTCAGGCCTGGCTGCCAGATGGTGATGGATTTGGTGGTCTTGGTGGCCGTGGCATCACTCAGGTTGCTGTCACCTAGTGTGGTGGAGGGCCAACTGCCTTGACCTTGCTCCCTGGCCCCCTGGCCACCCAGACCGCTGCTGAAGGGAACATGCTGTGGCCTCTGGAGTGCCCATTCAGGGTCCGCAGCCATGCCAGACCCTGAAAGCAGCCTTCCTGGAAAGACCTTCAGGGTCCCCAACAGCTACTGGTAATGAGGAGGGCAGCACTACTGCCTCTGGAGGGCCCATTTAGGGTCTGGAGCAGATGCTGTATGAGCAGGAAAGTGTCCTTTCTCACTTGCCCACTAGCCATGCCAGTCCACCTCTTGTCACCTGCTGTGGTCCACCCCTAGCACCCCCTAATGATGCCCCTGCTTGGTGGATGATCTCCAATGGAAACTAAATAGTAGAAATGTGTTCTATTGGACCTGTCATCAGCTTCTAATACCTATGTCTATGATATCTTTTTGGGACACCTTGCTAGGATGTAGGGTTGCCAGCTCAGGATCATCCCAGGCCCTGAGGTTTCCAGGCCAAAACCTGAGACCTCAAGACAGCCCTTATTGATGCCATTAAGCATCCTGCATTAAGTACCGACATAAACTGCTCAAAGCTTAGG